AGCTGATGGATCCCAGGCTGCCCTTGTGCACGGCTGGCTGCACGAGCCTGAAAATTAAAGCCCTGCTTGCAGACAGCTTTGAACCAAGGTCTTATCATCAAGCTTGGGGGAGTAGATATCCCAGCTACCTGCCCCTCAGCTGGGTAAACTCTAATGTATGTGTTTAACATCATTTCCTAGAGCTCCCTCAAAAGGATAACATTGCAATTGGTCACTCGGGGAGCTGGCTTAATAATGCACCTCAAGTTGTCTGACTTCCTTTTCTATACCTCTCCTTACCTGGTATCTGTCCCTGCACCTCTCAGGTAAACCACATGCCTCACTCTTCATCTCAGGGCCTGCTTCTCCCGGAGCTCGACATGCCATCCCTCATGGTGAGCCTTTCTCAAAGGTGCCCAGGAAACTACAGGGAGCAAAACCCATGAATTGATGCCCACAAGGTATGACGGGGCCTTGGAATTAGTGCCCTCCAGGAATTTCAAGAGTTCTAACCCTCTACTTCCTACTCATGAACAACTACTCCTAAACACCAGGTCCTGGGCGTCAGAAAACACGAGACTCACACAGGGATCTGGTAGTCCCCATGGTGCAGCCAGAGCCTTGGCTTGGGCCTCATAAATCAATGCCTGTGGCTCTGCAAAAGGAACAGCTCATGATCTGCAAAGTCAAAGACCATTATTTTCTGTTGATCTTCCTTCATCCAGGAGTGATTTGCCAAAACAATACCCTGGAGTTTAGCACCGAGCTGCCCAGAGTGGCGTCCTGTCTGCACATACAGATAAATACGGGTGACCTTCCTTTGTGATAGATTGGTGCTGAGGGCATTCGAACACACAGGGACACAACAATGACGCGTGGTTTGTTGGAAGATGGATTTATCTTCACACAACTCATGTGCCTCTTTGCTTTACCTTTGCTAAAGGGTACACCGCCCGAATAAAAATAGTAATTGCAGTATTAACAATACAAAGGCATTCCTTACACATTTATTATTTCCTAAGCACTGGGTGAAGCACACTGTCTCACTGAATCCTCACATATCCTTCTCTAAGGTAGGTACTGTTTTATTCTATCCCATTTGCAGAGGCTTCCAGAAGGTTCAGTAACTTGTCCGAAGTCTCACCGTGTTACACAGCTGAGCAGAGCATCCAACACAGCTCTCGGCTACAACGCTGAGAGCAGGAACAGCCACATAATTTGTGGGGCTCAGTGTAAAATGAAAATGCAGACTCCTTGTTCAACAGTTATTAAGAATTTCAAGATGGTGACAGCAGAACTTTAAACTAAGCCCCAGGCCTTTCTGAGCATGGAACCCTTCTGTGCACTGGGCTGCGTAAGGCCGCGAAAGCTATGCCCACGAAGCTGACTTTGGTTATGTAGACTCAGAAAAAAGTGATGTGAGTGATGATAAGGGCCTCAACATTCAACTCTGTTGAACCCTAGAGGTGACTCAACGAGCCCGGCTATTTCGTCAGAAGAACTAGTCATTTTCTGTCAGGCTCTAAATCAGTTCATCTGATAGAACTGCACAAATACTTCCCCCAGCTGGGCCTGCAAAGAGTCTATGGTACAAAACACGGAAGCAGGAGAGCAGACCCAATGGGCCAGGTGGCTTTGGGTCCCCCCGCTTTTCTTTCTGAAACAGAGTCTTGGTCTGTCACCCAGGCTGCAGTGCAGCCTGATCTCGGCTCACTGCAACCTCCACCTCCTGGGTTCAAGCAATTCCCCTGCCTCAGCCTCCTGAGTAGCTGGGATTACAGGCGCACATCACCATGGCCATCTACTTTTTGCATTTTTAGTAGAGATAGCATTTCACCGTGTTAGCCAGGCTGGTCTTGAACTCCCGAACTTGTGATCTGCCCACCTTGACAGCCAAAAGTGCTGGGATTACAGGCGTGAGCCACTGTGCTGGGCCGGCTCTTGGGTTTCTTGTAGCTCACACAAGGCCTAACAACAAATGTAGGCTACTGTGGACAGAAGTGGACTAGTCTTTTGAGCAGGATACCAGTGCAGATCTGGTCAAAATTTGCAGAGACTTGAGGCAGAAGTGGCAGCCTCTTATCAACTGAGTAAGCAACCATTCACCAAACTTTGGAGCCAGAGACACAGACACTAATTGTGTCTCTTCCCCTAGCCATTTAACTTTGGCAAGTTCCTAAGCCTCTCTGATGTTCAGTTTTCTCATCTGTAAGATGGGGATGGTGCTGTCTACCTCTCAGGGCAGGAGGTGGGATAGTGAATGAAATGATGCACATATACGGCTCCTGACACACAATAAGTGCTCAACTCAGTGCTGTGACACCCGATGGCTGTTTTCATCATGAAGTTGGTGGGACTATTGAAGGAGCCCAAGATTTGAAGGTGAGTTATGCAGGTTGACTCCCAAGCACTGACCCCCAGCTTTTATTTGTGAGAACCGGGAAAAGTCATGGAACTTTTTACACAGTCAGCCCCCCACCCACACCCTCACTTCCAATGGATTCCGAATAATTTCTACAGCACATGGGATCCTACAAGCCACAGATGAGCAGAGCATGATGGAAATAGAAGAGATGATTTTTTTTCTTTTCTTTTCTTTTTTGTAAGTAGAGTTTTGCTCTTGTTGCCCAGGCTGCAGTGCAGTGGCACCATCTCAGCTCACTGCAACCTCCCTAACTGCTGAGATTGCAAGCCTCCCAGGTACAACCGATTCTCCTGCGTCAGCCTCCTGAGTAGCTAGGATTACAGGCATGCACCAGCACGCCGGGCTAATTTTGTATTTTCAGTAGAGATAGGGTTTCTCCATGTTGGTCAGGCTGGTCTCGAACTCCTGACCTCAGGTGATCCACCCACCTTGGCCTCCCAAAGTGTTGGGATTACAGGCGTGAGCCACTGCACCTGGCCAAGACAATCATTTTTATAGCCAGTCAGGGTTTGCTGTTACTACCTGTAAATGATTTAAGTTGAAGAAGAGGGAAGAGGTTGGAAAGAGAACACCATCTTCTTCCTCAGATTCCCACTGTCCTCGCGGATGCTGCAACTCTCTTACAGGGTGCTAAGTAATCTAAGTGACTTTTTGTTTGAAACTTTTTTGTAATATTTCCACATTCTTGATCCCAAATCTGACTGATTCTATTTCAATTCGTGCTCTATAGTCCAACCCAGAGGGTGCTGAAAAAGAATACAATGAATCCATACAGACACCTGAGCCTTTATGTATTTTTTATAGGATAATACCAATCATAAATAGACATTTGAGGTGGCTTATGTTTTGCTGGAGAAGTGTCTGTCCTTAACAGAAAAACTTTGTGATTTAAAAATGCAGTGTGCATAAAGAATTCTATCCTTCTTCAAAAAATATTACATGTATATACAGCAATAAAATCTGAAACTCTTTTCTAAACTTTAAGGACGGGCACAGTGGGAGGAAAACTGGATATTGTCTTATCGTATATGCACACAATATACAAAGACATGTGAGCTTACAGCCACACCGAATGTGACCACTGTGATTTACATTTAGAACACTTATCCAGCCCATCTGAATTCTAGTCACTCACTCACGGGGCCCAGGTACCACAGACAGCAACTGGGAATCATTTTTCTGTTCTGCTCAAACCCTGGCCTCTTCAGTTGCTTTCCTCATTGGTTCTCCTAACATGTTCTGCACATCAGCTTGTTTAAGAAGATTTCTGTAAACATCAAACCCAAATTCCAGGGTGTCTCTCACCAGAAGCCATCTTTCCATCAAAAGCTGCTCACAGACAGCGGCCACATGGACTGCCCTGAAGTGACCTGACCTCCCGTCTCCTGCAGTCTCTCCTTTTCTCTAGACCTATCATTGCTCCTCTGCCTCCAACACTTCCCCAAACACCCTCCGGCACACACGCAGTGAATTCACTCTCACTTTTACAGAGTGTATTCAAAGCTGGGAAGGAAGAGGGTTGCTCTTGCCCTTGGGGGATCTGATGCGGTACGTAAAGACCCAGTTCCTTGAAATTGATGGGAGGTTTTAGCCATCTTGCATGCAATTATTCACCTGGTTGTCTGGGAAGGTTACCATGGCAACATTTCCAGAGCCTCATGTATCTACATGTCACTGATATATCCTATCAATTCAGCAAAGGGAGAAAAAATAGTCAAAGCAGCTCTCATCTCCTGTCTGGTCTGACGAATCACTATTTTTCTTATTTGGACATCATCTAGGCACAGCAACATGACACTCCTAATACGGTGTTTCTTTCACTCTAGTGTATTTTAGGGCTGAAAATCAAAGTCCAGCCGAATAGGAATTTTTCCGCTTTATTCTTCATTTTCTCAAGCATTATACGCAGGACTGACTTCCGCTGCTGGCTATGAAATACATTAATCAGTACGCATTGGGCCAAAAAAGGAAGCTCTAAATTCTAGAACCTTCCCTGGTAGAAAGGTTAAACATGGGGAAAGATAGGGGAGCTCTATGGTAACCTTGAGTGACTTCTATAATGGCAGGTACGTGCATTTCTGGAGAGAGATATCAAATATCTTCATTTTGGTCCTCTGACTGAAGACAAAAGCTTTCTTCATGCACATCTTCTAAGGGAAGGGAAAAAGTCCGACCTATTTTACTGAAATAGCTCTTATTAAAAGGCCACTATGAAAAGAAATAACTGAGGAGTTTGTAATGAGGACCCAATTGTCATCAAAGCCCTGCTATAGCACAAAGTTCCCCCTTGGACCTTCACAAAGGTAAGTTGGATATTTACATGGTGCCCAACATCAGCCATGCCTTAGAGACTTAGATGGCAGCCATTCTTGGAGGATCACCTTCAAAGACAACGAAAGAGATTTTCATAGCTTGCAACACCTTGGTCAAGCTTTGCACTTTAGCTTTCCAACCTGGCTTCTATGCAGGAAAGTAACATGTCAACGTTGATACAAGCTGACAAGTCAATAGCCACACAACAGTCCCTAGAATCCACAAAGATCATAGTGTCCCTCTTTCCGAGCCATTATGCTAAAGATAAATCACCATGACATACCTGTGGGTGACCCTTCCATGACGTGGCCAATGTAGGGGCCTTCTCGAAAGATTGGTCTGTTGTCATTCTGATCAATCACGATGACTTCCAGAGGCACCGGCCCCTCGAGAGTTTTGCCATTGGCATCAGTGGTCTCCACAAATAGCTATTTAAACAAAGAGATTGGGGGAGAAAGGAGATGTTAATTCATGATGAAAATTGAAATAAGATTCTCTAGAGAAAGTAGGTTACATCAGCAATTTAATGAGCCCTTGGCAATATTGAAACTGTGGTCTCAATGGATAGTCACTGGGACTAGAATGGAAACGAAACACTCCAGAATAAAAGGCAAAGATCAGTTCACATTAGAGCCCCCTTAGGAAATTTACAATTAATTCATCAAATCTGCAAAGAAAGTTAAAAACAAAACAAACACTCCCAAACATAAACAGCCATAGCCAAGAAATTAGGCTTATATCATTTCTGTATTCCCAACATCATTGTGCTTAAAAATAATGTTATGCTAATAGAAACAATGGACTAAGCAGTTATGAACCAAGTATGTTAAGAGAGAACCAAAAGTGTTTATGGCAATTTTTTAGGAGAAAGTCAGGTCGGTATTTGTAGGGGGCTTTCCTCAGGCTAGGAACTCAGAATTTGCAGGGACCCTGAAAGACACCTTGGGATTCCTGCCCACCAGGCTCTTTACAATCTCAGGGGATTTCAAAATCCACGAATCACTTCCATAGGGAACTACTTTCAGATCTCAATGAAGAAGGCAGCATTTAAAAAAAAAAAAAAAAAAAAAAAAAAAAAAAAAAGACAGCTCTTTTTGTTTGTCTTGGAAACAAAGAATTATGCCATGGCATTTCCAGTGAATCACAGGAACCTTATGTGTTAATTTTCTGTGCTTAATTCAGCCTTGATTTAACTCAGCCATAGCAGTAATACTTCTTGGATATAAGTGGTGATCGCTACATAGGAATATTTTGGTGAGAAAAGGGCATTAGTATTTGGAATCCTAGTACAACTCTTTCCTATCTGTGTGACCTTGAGCAAGACACCGGAGCTCAGTTTTCTCATCTATAAATGGGGTTAATAAAAACACTTACTAGGATAAAAACAAACACTTATCCAGTGTTTACTTAGGCTCTATACTATATTAACTCACTTGCTTCTCATAATAAACCCTCTGGATCCTTTTACAGAGGAGAGAATGAAAGCAAATAGAACATAAACGCTGGAGTACAGATTTGACCTTGGAAAGTCTGCCTCCAGAGCTCACATTTTTAACTACTATAAACAGTATTTCTAAAGCATTTAATACAAGGCATATATCTCAAGAATATTAGCCGCTGCTATTGTTGCTACAGTTATTATCAATACTATTGTCAAAGGTAGTTCAAATCAGGAAAATGAAAGACAAACATTCTTGTTATAAATCAGTACGGTCACATTCCACCTGATGATATTGTAAACCAGTATAATCCTTTTCAAAAGCAAGGCAAAATTAAACAGAAATCATGAAAGACTCATACTTTGTTCTATTTTTATACCACCTCTGATCCTACGTAAGTTTGCACTACATACTTGGAACTATTCACTGCATTGCTGTTTCTATTTTTTTTTTTTTTTTTTTTTTTTTTTTTTTTTTTTTTTTTAGATGGAGTTTGGCTCCTGTTGCCCAGGCTGGAGTGCATGGCGCGATCTTGGCTCAGTGCAACCTCTGCCTCCCAGGTTCAAGCGATTCTCCTGCCTCAGCCTCCCAAGTAGATGAGATTACATGCATACATCACTATGAATAACTAATTTTTTGTATTTAGCAGAGACAGGGTTTCACCATGTTGGTCAGACTGGTCTCAACCTCCTGACCTCAGGTGATCTGCCCACCTCAGCCTCCCAAAGTGCTGGGATTACATGCGTGAGCCACCACACCTGGCCCCATTGCTATTTCTAATAGTAAAATTACACTGGCATCTGCCTTAATGTCCAGTGGAAGGGAATTAGTTGAATTAATGTTTGTGTAACAACATGTTACAATGCAATAATTACATAAAATAATTTTTAAACCTTGTTGATCTTAGAATATTGAGTAAAATTATACAAAATAACAAGTATATAATGCATATATAACACACAAATATGGACAGAATTTGAAGGCAGTGAGCAAAATGAAACCAGGAATGTGTGGGTAGATAATATTTTTTCTTTATCATTACTTCATCCTTTTACTACCAAGTTCAAATGCAGACGTCCACACTTGATTTCTGGGCAGATAAAATAATGCAAATAATTAGAAAAAATTCAGTGCACAGAGCCTTCTAATATCTGTACACAAAGGAGATCTCACAGGAGTTAAATTTTATACTTTTATGTTTTTTTTTAAAGCTATTATGAGAATACTGCTAACAAAGGAAATCAATCAAAATAAAGCTTTGGGGCAATTTTATGTAATAACATAGGTCTGGTTTTTTGTCTTCCCAAAATAGCCAAGGACTTGACTTTAACTCAACCCTCCAACACCCCGCAAAAAAGAAAACTATGCATAAAGATACCAAACATCTTGGATCTGAATGCTAAGATTCTGCATTCTGTAAGACCTGGCCAGGATCACAAGCTACAAGTAGGATAGAGAATCGGAACTCACATTTGCCAAACATTCAAATATGCTGAAACTGGGAAGGGCAGACAACAAGATCCATCTTAACACAATGGAAAGAAGCAAACTAAGGGGACACATTGATTAGGATGAAAGCAAAGTGTGGAGCTGAATCTCAGAATACCAATTATGCAAACAGACAAGCCAATGGTATTTTATGATACAAAACTATTCAGAGTTCGACTCTCATACTTTTCAGAGGACAATAATATCAACAGAAGCCAAGAGTTTGGAATGGTCTCTAAAAACAGCAAAGCGCCATTAAGTGGCATTTCCTTCCTTCCTTCCCTCCTTCCTTCCTTCCCTCCTTCCTTCCTTCCCTCCTTCCTTCCTTTCCTCCCTACCTCCCTCCTTCCCTCCTTCCCTCCTTCCTTCCTTCCTTTCTTTTTCCTTTCTTTGAGACAGAGTCTCGCTCCAACGCCAGGTGCCAGGGTGGAGTGTAGTGGCACGATCTCGGCTCACTGCAACCTCCGTCTCCCAGGTTCAAGCAATTCTCCTGCCTCAGCCTCCCGAGTAGCTGGGACTACAGGTGTGCACCAACACACCCAGCTAATTTTTGTATTTTTAGCAGAGACGGATTTCAGCATGTTGGCCAGGATGGTATGGATCTCTTGACCTTGTGATCCACCCGCCTCAGCCTCCCAAGGTGCTGGGATTACAGGCGTGAGCCACCACACCTGGCCTAACTGGCATTTTCTTAAAGTTAATTTAATACAGATTATTTGAGGACCCACTACATGTCAGCCATATTGAACATTGAGTAGCCAGCAGTTAGCAGAAAAGATACCCCAGCATGGGGAGACAGATAATAAACAAGAGAAAAAGATATGAACAAGATAATTTCAGTCACAGATGAGGGCTGTGAAGGAAATGAGACAGGTTTGAATAAGAAAGCTTCCTTATCCAATACTGTAGCTGCTAGCCATGTGTGGCTATTGCAATTTACATTTATTAAAATAAAAAAAACTCAGTACTCCAGTCAAACTAGGAATGTTCTGAGTGCTCAATAGCCATATGTGGGTAGTAGCTACCATATTAGACACCATGCATGCAAAACATCTCCATCACTGCAGAGACACAGTACTGGGTTAGAATATGACTGAGAAAGAGTGAGTGAGTGAGTGTGTGTGTGTGCGGGGGGCGGCGGGACGGGGGCACCTATTTGAGATAAATGCAGGGAAAACCTTATTGCCAAGGGAATGTTTCAGCTGAGACTTAAATGACAAGAAAGTTGAAAGAGGTAGCCATGCAAAAATACATGGAAAATGATTTCTAGACAGCAGGAATAGCAATGCAAAGACTCTAAGGTAGGAATGAGGTTGGAACTAATTTGAGAGTGGGGAATGATATAAGATCAAGTCAAAAAATTAGGACTCCACTCAGCTCCAAATGAATTAGGTTAAGGCTTATGTCCATGCAAGATTCTTTGCATAGAGCAATCTAAACCAAGTGAAGAATGAAGACATTTTGTTTCTGTAAGTCCCTGGTAAGGCGGAAATGAGAAAGAAGTATATCATGCTTGTCCCCAACAGAGGAAATCATAGTAGACCAAATAAAATATATAATAGGAAATGTATGTGTTTTATGGAGAGGTTTGCCTAGTTTTCAAATAATCTGATTAATGATGTGGATGAAAATTAAGCACATGCATATGCATGAGGAAGCTGTTAGTAAATACAGCCTTATCCACCTAATCACACACTGTAACAAAACCTGACATTCCCATGAGTTTTCATCACTGTTCTCACATGAAGGTCAGACCCACAGTTAGCAAATGCCAAACTTTCTGAAGTCAGGCTCTTAAATTCCAGCACGCCCTCCAGTATCAGAGAATAAATGTTCAATAACGTTCTTGCCTGCCTTCTTTCTTCCTAATTGAAATACCCAAAGCACACAAATCCTTAGTTTGAAAAGACTGGAACAATGCTTGTATCCTTTGAATTACATGATAGATTCAAGTGGCTGTGTTTGAGTTCTAAAAACAAAACAAGCTCAAACGCATTCAAAGGGAGGCATTCTGATATTTGTTCTTTATGTTGGAACGGAGATGCCATTTGGTAGAAACCTACTGTGAGAAAAACAAACAGGTAGCCATAGCAGAAGGTAATGAAATACTTGCTCAAAGGAAATGGAAACCATTCAGCCCCTCACTGCCTATTTCAAGACCACCCTTTCAGACATGAGGATTTCTATTCTTAGATTCAATGGTTGACCTGCTTGCAAATAATAAGGTGTTATATAAAAAAATGTCCACTGTGGAGCCAGACTAGAGGGGCATTCAATAAGTTACAGCTAGAAACACTTGTCCAATATTGCAGGATTTAATAACTAATTCCATAGTAGGTAGCCTGAACTCCACGCAATTACACATCTGACCAATGTCTGTGCTCTGTGTTCTATTCAAAGGTCAGTCTTCAAGCCAGCAGCACTGGCATCCCCCCAGGAGCTGGTTAGAAATGCAGGCTCCTCCGTCCTGCCTAGAACCTACAGAGGAAACCCATCCATTT